GAAGAAGAAGAAGAAGAAGAAGAAGAAGAAGAAGAAGAAGAAGAAGAAGAAGAAGAAGAAGAATAATTCCGGGCGCGAAATTCAAACCTGCTATCGCGACACCGCGGCGTCTGCCGTTTCTTTGCGTTTTCGGTAAAATTGTCGAGTAAAGAAAATCGCTTGTCACACACTAGGGTATTTTAACAGCACCAAATGTTTTATGTGCACTGTTTATTTAAACTATTAATATACTCAAATCCATTTTTGCTGTTTGTTATAACCACGTTATGCAGCGGCGTGACAATGAACGCTGAATACGAACAAAGCCTTAGGAAACTAATAAAATTCTTAGAATTTTCAAATTATGCTAAATACACTCTATTGGACGACAAACACGACATGTTTCTCTAATATTTTGTTTCCTTACAAAAAAAATTACAGAACTGTAAATTTTTTTCACTTGTCTCTCACGTCGTTAATATTTGTATTAACGGCAATTTCTTCTCATTACTATATTTATGAGTAATTTTTTAACTTTAAATAATATCATACAAAATTACTCGAAAATTAATGTTTGCTGCGAAAACTAACTCAAAATTCCTCATTTTCTGAAACGTTCAAACGCCATTTTCTCAAAAACGTCTCCAATATTTTTTCAAACTTTTCGAATGGATGGTACTAATTGCACTCTTCAATATGATGTAAAGTACATTTTTGTGTATTCATTTGGTTATTCAGAAATTACATCTATTTAATTTCTTTGAAAGATCTCTCACGCCTATAATATTCACATTTCCATCTATTTCTGAACACAGCAATTTGTATTTATGGTTTAAAGTGCTTTAAATGACTTCTAATAAATGTTTTCGCAAACTCAAAAAATATATGTGAAAACGAGCTTCAAAGTCAATTTACAGTAGCGCTTAAACGCTATTTTCTTAAAAATGGCTCCAAATTTTTCAAAGAAAATTGCCATTTAGGACGAGGTTTTATTGTTCTTTAATAATCTTAAAATAATATTTCCGTTCTATTAGGAAACCAAAATATTGAGAAAATTTCAAAAAATAAACTTCAGGCGGCGGTAAATGGTAGCTGGTAACAGTATGTAGCAAGTCTGAATAGCTAGCCGAGACCAAAGGAAATACAAAATTAATCCGGGAAAGTCTGTGCCATTTCGTATCCCCACTAGTTTTACTTTTTATTAAAAGTCGCTTCTTTAGCTGCAATGGGCATCGAAGACCTCATTATTCATTTTACATTATACATTTACATTGTACACCTTCTATAAACTTATATGTTTAATTAACAATAGGAAAATATTGACTGTATACATCCATCTTTGATATTTAAACGGTCATTTATACATTACATTTTACATTACATATTAAGATTGCATTTTATTTTATGCTTTATAAAAACTATATTTATTAATTAATTATAGCAAAAACAGTGTCTGTATAGGTTCAGTTTTGGAATTTAAAGAGTCTTTAATACTTTAGGGCAGTTTAGATTGATTTCTTTCTGATTCTAAAATTTGGCATTTCATTAGAAGGCGTGTGACTGTCAAAACAGCACCACACATATCACACAAGTTTCTCTGTAAGTGTAAATGTGTCACATTTTTATGACCTATTCATAATCTGGTTATTGTCACTATTCCTTTTCTGATATTGACATTGTAAGAGACTACTAAAAAATGGATTGTATGTTTCCTGTAGTTTATGTAAGTTATTGTTTCTCCAGTAAGAGTACTATAATTTCTTCATTTTAATTTTGATACATATTTTAACTTCATCTGGAGGTGAATATGATGTGCGTTTAGAGGTTCATTATTGGCTTTTATAGCTTGGTTATCTGCATCTTCATTCTATTGTATTCCCTGATGGCTTGGAATCCATATTAGCAGTGTATTATATTTGTTTATAATTAGCAGAATAAATATTAAACCTTAATTTGTATCTGTCATTCAAAATTTATTATTACACATTTTTCTTGGCTTTCAATTTTTTGAACTTAAATTATAAAAGCATTTAATTATAAAACATGACATTATAAAAATGGTTACTTTTCACAGTATTTACATGATGCTTTTAATTGTTTCTAAGACACTTTATTTCTTCTAGGCTTTAATTTTGATTGACAGATTTTTGAATACAATTACATTTAAAACACATAAAAATGAAACATAGATGATAAACATGAAAAACGTTTCAGGCATTGCTATTGCAATCTCCAGGCTAAAAACAATAGTCAACCTCCATTCAAATACCATCAATTTTTAATTTTCGCCTTCTTTTAATCATTCACCATAACACTAAATGAATAATTGTAAAGTAAAAAGTAAAATATCAAAATTGGTTGCATTGTAAGGGAGGTTAACTATTGTTTTAACCTAAAGATGTGCAGAATCATTGTTCAAATTCAGTGCTGCATCCGTTTTATAATGTTATAAATATGATTGTATTCAAAAACCTGTTAATCAAAATTAAAGCCTAGAAGAAATAAAGTAGGTATTTTACAAACAATAAAAATCATCATGTTACTAGTGTGAATATCAAATTATTTTCTAATTTAAAGCCTGTCAAAAAAAAAGGGGGTAATAAATAATTATTTCTTGTTTATTCTTCATTGGTAAATTTGAATTATTGGTGTTCATTATTATTGATTGAAATTGCTTATTTTCTTCATGCATATTTTCATAAGTATCAAAGTTTCAACATACCATCAAAGAATTTTAAAATAGGCCTACTCAATAGACGCTTGAATGAGAGTAACATTGGAAAGTGTTAAATTCACTCCAGAATTCACATCCTAATTACTAGCCACATCATGCTATAATTTAAAAATCCTCTCATTATCGCAATCGAAATTATCCGTTTTTTGCTGAACCATGTAGAACAAATTATTCGTGAATATGGAACTTCAAACAAATTAGCACCAATAATTGCGAAATTTTAAAAAAACCTATGCATGTCCATGTGATGTATACGAATGATGGCTTATTGTAATAGACTGATAACATTTGTATTTTTTAAAAAGAACATAACTACATTTCTTTTAAATTACCGTAAATATTATGTTGAATGAATTGTATTTGTTGAATTGTATATCGATTTAACTTTATTGATATGCATTGGGATAAATGTAACAATAAATTCATATTGTAGAATTCATTGAAAGATATTCAATAAAACGCAGTGAAGAGAGTAAGAAACAAACATGGCGAAACATCTGAAATAATCTATTCGTTCACTTCGTTTCCTCTTTAACAATGTATATTTCCGCAATTGCAATTTTTAGGCTATTAAGATATTAAGATTCACGTTGACAACAATAAAACAAAACAAAACATTGAAGCAAGTGTAGTTGGATAGTTTTGATAGGCTGTTGTTTGGGATTATGATGCGTTGTTGTTCAAGAATTTACTCTCTTGTTTTCGTGGATACACAGTTGGAAGTGTGAACTGCAACCACAGCTCATTCTTACAAAGTTCTGGAAGTTTTTGTAAGCATACAGGCAATGTTTAACTCAAGAGTATTTCGGAGGCCAAAATGCTCAAAGAACAATGATCGCGCAAATCCGGCAAGGATCCCTCTCCAGTACGGTAATCGGTACTTTCTCTCTTCTTTCCGGATTCGTGGACTTGTTGGTTCACCAAAGAGATAGGATCCCGATCTTGGCTGACAATTTGGTGCGCTAATTAATTTTAGCACATTGAAGAATTCCCTGGGATATGTTACATTGTTCTTTCCACCAGTCATTATTAGTTGGAAGTGATACTATGCGTGTTTAAAAGAGGGGATAAGTCCCCATGTGGGAGGACAAGGCGAACCGGCGAGGTGGGCGATGGGTCCTCAAGCTCCCGCGCGGAGACCGAGCACGAACGCTCGACACGATGTGGGAGGAGACTCTGATAGCCATGCTGGACGGTATGTTCTCCAACAGCGGCGACATTTGTGGTGCCGTGCTCAACGTACGAGGACGATTCGACAAAATATCTCTCTGGGTGAAGGATTCGTCGAACAAGCAAAGCGTGCTGGCCATTGGATGGAATTTGAAAGAATGTTTGTGTCTTGCCCCGGACATTGAGTTAGAGTTCGAGGCACACATAGACGCGATGATGAAAGATACTGATAACAGACAGTGATTCCTGAAGATATTGCTTATTTGACTGGAAGTTAGTTGCACCGAGTGCAGACTATTTTACGTGTCCGTGTTATTTGTTTAATTCTGGTTATTCGTTCTTTATGTTTTTGTATATTTTGTGTATCCGTATTTTATGTGTTTGGGCTATTATCATGTTGTATGTGTTTGTGTTACAATCAAAACTTGTTTTAATTTGCAGTTTGTTATTCGTGTCTTAATTTGAAACATTTAGTATAACGAAATGTGTGTGATGTTATAACAATTTTGTTTTAAGAATGATGATGATATTGTTAACACTAAGACAAAACCCTACCATTAATAAGCAATGATTCATATTTATCATGATTAAATTATAATATTGAATTGTAAGTGTTAAAAGCTCAGTGCATGGAACTTTGCAGAATATGCAGTATTCTCTGACACTTGGTAAAAGTTTGATATTGTCTATCATTGAATGACTGTTTACCTTTCAATGTAGTATTAAATTTTTAGCTGCTTAAATTAAAAATTAGAGAAGACTGTTTTATGTGTTTGCGTATTTCATAGAATCAAAAAAATCAAATTTTTGTGTTAATTTCAAACATGTAAATTAAAATGTGTATAATGTTGACGTGTAGTCTCTTTTGTTATTGTTAATGATTTTGGAATGAGAATAAAAAAATTGAATTTATGAAGTATATTTAATAATTATTTCTGACAATATGATTATACATAGTATGTGTTTACGCCCAATGTATGAGTGTAATATATATTAATAATGTACATTGTATGGTACATTATAATAATATTTTATTCTTAAATAGAGCACAAGCGATGTATGAGGAGTCAAGGTGTGTAGACCACGTAATTAAACAATGAACAACATAGATATTTTAAAAAAATAATAAAATACAGAAATACAAATATGGTTCTTAATTCAATAAAAAATTTTAATGAAATTCGCAATACAAAAGAATATGAAACAGTTCACTACAATGCATTTTGATTTGATATGAGACACTGCAAGGAGACCAAATAAAAATTGATAATAAGAAAGAAAGAGAGAAAAATTATTTGAAAGCTGGAGTGGGTCCATCCATTTTGTCTATCAAACATTTTTTGAAATGCCAATCCCAGAACAGAATATACAATGATATTAGTAATTTATATCAATGTAGATGCATGTTAATGATGTACATTATATTCATTTGTATTGTAGAATGCATGTAATAGGAAAGCTTTCAGTTTATTTTTAATTTTGTTTAATGAATTTAAGCCTTTAATTCCATTACAGAGATTGTTATATAGTGTAATGGCTTCTATAATGGTACTTTTTTGAAAGAGTGAAGTTTCACTGTGAGTGACACACATATTTCTTTTTTGTCTTTCACCATAATTCTGAACTTCTGCTTTTAGTATAACAGAATTCTTGTTTCTCTTAAGGGTCTCCTTTGTGAATATTACTATTTCAAGTATGTAGAGCCGTAGTACGATTTGTAATTTTTTGGACATTTTTTGCAGATCTCATGTATGTTATTGTTTGTTATTGTTCTCAATATTCTTTTTTGGATGATAAAAGTTTTAATACTTACGAATATTCTTAGAATATAATTCCTTATTTTCAATATATTCCCCTGTTTCAGGGCAATTTTTAGTTTTCATATCCACACGTAAGCTTCCGTGGCTTGAATAGCCAAGAATTTATGATTCTTAGTTTTGTTTTATGGCCAATTTTACTGGTGGATTATTTTTGTGGTTGATTCCTGAAGTTTAGGGAGACAGTTCTACAGGGCTCTAGGATGAGTTTTATTTCTTGGAACCATTTTACTAATGCTTCTAGAACCACTGGATAAAATGGGTTGGTAATTGTTTATCTTTAACATGCTCCATTATGACTACTTGACAATGATTTGAAAGGTAAGATTTAATCCATTGATATACAATGCCTGTAAATCTCTAACTTTCAAGTGTCCAAAAAATAAAATGGTCAATAATACTAAATGTTTTCTATAAATCCAGAAACAAATCAATGGGGATTTATTTCTGACCTAGAGCAACAAGTTTGTTTTTTTAGAAATGGGAAGATAGATGTGTCTGTGGATCTGTCTTTGAATCCGGGGTCTCTGTCAATACATTATTTTATTTGAGAATAATTTTTTTGTAAATTGTTGAAAATTGTTTCCAGAATTTTAGAAAATTTATAAAATAAGATATTGATCCATACTAATCCGTTAGTTCGTGAGTGATGCCTTTTTTTGTAGTGACCTAACATTCGTTTTTAATGAATTGCTGGGAAGATACCTGTCGTTGAGTGGTTACAAACGTGATGGGTGGTTCTATTTTGATGTTACAGCATGTGTCGGGGAATTTGATTTATGATTTTTTTTTCTGAGTGTGATGTTTCAGTAATATATTGGGAGTTTGCATTTTGTGTGGACCGGGTATTTGAGTGCATATTTATATTATTTAAAGAGTAGTGATGAATAATTTTTACACCAATTCCTGAGAAAAGTTTATTGATTTGTTTTATATTTCTTATGAATTGTGCAGAACATTACTTATGAAGCGATGTTTGATTTTACTTAGTGATTCTGTTTTTAGAGTATTTTTCACCATGTTCCACATAGCTAATGTTTTTTATTGTGCATTGTCTATGTATTTATAATTCAATAATTGCTTGGCTTATTTAGTTATGTTCCTCAGAATACTTATGTATGTTCTGTACTAAACAATGAAATCTGAACTACATTTATTGCGAAGATTGTTTCATGCATATTGCTAGTTCTTTCACATGATATTTTGATTTCTTTGGTTGATACAAAAAATTATTACTTTAAGAAAAAATTTTATAATAATGTGAATGATAGTAAAAGATTGGCCTGACATAAATAAAACATGAAATACAAAATCTGTTAATAATATTGATGATAATATTATTATTATTATATATTTGGAGAGCAGTGTGTACATGAAATGGCAAATAACTTTGCAAATAGCTTTGTTGCACAAATTAATAATATCGTTAAAGAAAATAACTATTATGAAGCAGAGGTGATTCATGAACCTACAGATATTATTGTTTATTTACCACTATGCTAAGTAAGTGATATGAAAACAATTATTCTAGAAGAAATTAATGTGAATAAATCTGCTGGTTATGATAATATTAGAGCATAAGCTATTGTAAATAAAGTAAATATATTTAGCAAGATGTTAACAAATTTGATACACGATTGTATCAATTGTGGAACATTTACAGACAGCTTAAAAATGAGACTAATTTCCAAGAAAGGCGATAATCATGATATGGGTAATTGTTGGCCAATATTCATTTGACCAGTAATAGAAAAAAATCTTTGAAAAATATATGGTTAAGCATCTAAATAATTATGCAAGAAATTTTGATGGAATTAATAATAATCAATAAGGATTTCAAAAACATAAAGGGCAGAAAAGTTGCTGGTACAAGTGTTAGATAATTTTAATAATCAATTGAATAGAGGTCATGGGGTAACTGCTATAAACATTGACTACTCAAATGCATTTGATACAGGGAAACATACTAATTTATTAAAAGGGCTGATAGCAAAAGAATTTTCATGTAACTATTGAAAATGATTCGAAAGCTATTTTGAATATAATTATGTTAGTGTATTTTTGGATACTCATCTCATATTTCACAGGCACATTAATGTGGTATTTCATATGAAGAAAATAATGTCTGGATGCATTTATACATTAGGACTATTTGTGAATAAAAAGTGCTCAGAATATTGTACAATGCACAAGTTGACTTAACATATGATTTGGGATTTTGATAAAATATATATATATATATATATATA